CTGCTCAGCGGGGAGCCTGCTTCTCCCTCTCCCACTCTGCCTGCTTGTGTTCCCTCTCTTGCTGTCTCTGTCAAATAAATAAATAAAATCTTTAAAAAAAAAAATAAAATAAAATAAATTCAAATTCCTAGAATTAGCTATTTTGGCTTTCAGTATTGTGCTAAGAGCTTCAACATGGATTATCTCATTTAATTGGGTACATATTATAACTTCCTATTTTACAGATGACAAAACTGATGTTGGAGATCACACAGATATAAGTGGCAGAGGAAAAAAGGATTTAAACCATTTTAAAGATCCCAGACCTGGGGCACCTGGGTGGCTCAGTCATTAACCCTCCAACTCTTGATCTTGGCTCAGGTCTTGATCTCAGGTGGTGAGTTCAAATCCTGTGTTGGGCTCCACACTGGGCATGGAGCCAACTTAGAAAATATATATATATATCCCAGACCCTGTGCTCTGAGTCACCATACTACATTGCCTCATCTTTGGATCCTTCACCCTGTCCATCCTATATGTAACCACAGCTTATGTTTTCTTTTCTTCAGTATTTATTCATCAGTAACGATGCAACTACTCTATGCCAGGCACAAAGGATTCAGGAATGAACAGAACAGTTCTGGCCCTCAAGGAACTCATAGTACAGTGGAGAAACCAGATATAAACAAATAATTATGATAAAAAGTGAGACATGCTCTCAATAGAGGTATGTATAAAGTGCTAAGAGAACAGAGGAAGGAGGGCCTAATACTGCCCTGGGGCTTCTGGTATCCAGAAGAAAGCAGGAACCATGTGGCTTCAACCCAAACAATTCAGTTTGTTCAACAAATAATTATATGCAAGTATTATATTCAAGGATTATCAAGTCTAAAGTCTCACCATCACACAGAAGAATTGCTATTAACTTTATTACCATCTGTCAACTGGGAAACTTGGGCATATTACTTAACTTCTCTAAATTTTAGTTTCCTTATCTGTAAAATGGGGGAAATAGCACCATTGAACACACAGAATAACTAGAGGATAAAAGAGGCTTACCATAGCCTTTAATATAGTATTTTTAGAAACCTAAACTCAAATTATTCATAAAACAACCATTCATCATGCCATTGCCCATTCCAAAATGTCTATGGGGTAACATCAAAACTCTAGCATTTAAAGTTCAAGAACACGGGTGCCTAGGTGGTTCAGTTGGTTAAGCAGCTGCCTTCAGCTCAGGTCATGATCCTGGAGTCATGGGATCCAGCCCCACGTCCAGCTCCCTGCTCAAACGGGAGTCTGCTTCTCCCTCTCCCTCTGCTCCTCCCCCTGCACATGCTCTCTCTCAAATAAACAAA